CGACGGCGATACCGACCGGCTCCCGGAGTTTATCGTGCAGACGGGCGCCTACATGTTAGTGGACGAGACCCTGTTCTCCAGCGATGCCCTGAAGGTGACGTTCCTCATCACCCGTCTCACGGGGCCGGCCCTGCAGTGGGTGATCCCCTACATCAGGAAGAAGAGCCCCCTCCTCAATGATTACCGGGGCTTCCTGGCCGAGATGAAGCGGGTCTTTGGATGGGTGGAGGACGAGGACTTCTAGGCCGGGAGACCCTCGGGCTGGGGGCGGGTGGCCGGGGATGGTCCCTTGCGCCAGTGGCCGCCGCCCAGATCGCTACAGGCGTCCTCCCGCCGCGCCTCCCCCTCCCTTACCTTCGAGTCGCCGCGATCTCCCCCGCGCTCTTGTCCCCTCCCGCGTAGTGCTTGCCTTTGTTCCAGGAATAGCGCTCCAGGTTCCCGCTGCTGCCGCTGGGCCTCGCTCTGGAGCGCGCCGCCGCCCTCTCTGGCCTGCCCGGCCCCTCCCGTGCACACTTGGCTCTGCCTGCGCTCCAGCTGCAAGCTGGGCTCCGGTTACTCACTGGACAGACCACCCACAGCCCGCCCCCTTGTCGGGCTACCAGGCCTGCATCGATGTGCCGGAGACCTGTGCTGCCGCCACCATCGCCATCCACCGCATCCCACCGACAGACTGTGCCCTTGAGTGATCTGGACACCCCCGGGAGGTATCTGAGCTGGCCACAGCCCCTGGACCATGATTCAGACAGCTCACGGCCCCCTGAAGGGGCCGGCCAGCCTTTCACCTTCAGCCGGACCCATTCCCTCCCTACTCCTAGAGACATCTGCTCCTGCCAGATGGTCCCCAGGTCCCAGGGGTGCCTGGCAGCTAAACCGAGTCACTCATTTTCTCCTGTGCACCTGTAAGTTTTGCCTAGAATCCAGTTCTCTTCTGCATTTGCAGTATTTTTTGTTATGTGTTTGTTGGTCAACCAGATAAATCCAACACTTTACCTGACTTCTCAACACCACCTGGACAAAAGTCTTTTCCTTATTTTCAGTAAATGTCAGACGCCAAAAAAAAAGAAATTGAGTATCAATAAATATGGCACCTCTTCCCTGTCCCTGTAAAAGTGGCCCATGTCTTGTTCAGAAGATACATCCCTTGCCATTCTGTAGGTGATGTTAGAGACACTCTCCTCTCTGTTGACTCTTGCATATAAAACATCCAAGTTAGAATTTGAGGTGGTTCTGGGGACGGAGACCCCACGGAGGACCATTCAATCCAGATAATGAATCCTCTAAACTAGTCAGGATTGTTTCAGGCCTCTTAAGATATGGAGCTTTATTTTGGCCAAGGCGATGTGAGAAGTCAGCCAGGACTCTTCTTTGAAAAGGTTTCCTTATTTATAAAAGTTGTTTGAAAGCACCCAAATTGTCACAAACCGTAAATCCCCCACAAATAGTGAACAATGTCAAAATTTTATTTAACCCATCATTCAGAGGACCAGCAGAATAATATATGTGCTTTAAAAAAACATTTATAGAGCCTTCATCATGTAGGCAGTTGAGGTGGGGCAAAGCATAAAGAAATGAGATTGTTAAAAAAAAAAAAAAAGAAATGAGATTGTTTATGTACAAACCTCGTTGACGACCTGTAGGACAGTAAAAATATAAACTTCCCTAATGAGCAGAAGAAAGTCATGGCTCCTTGTTTATCTGTATTTCGTATTTGTTTACCTGCATTTAATATTTATCTGCAGTTAATATTTGTTTACCTGCAGTTAATATTCTTATATCTATAGCACTGTAAATAGCCTGCGCTCCCTCACCAATTGTTGGTCAACAAAGTTGAATATCCTGACTCAGATGATCCACAGGTGGGCTTATAGACAATTCTCTGGTGTGATGTTTAAAGGTTGTACAGTCAACTTTTTGTTTCATTTCTAAATTTTGGTGATTTTCCAGAACATGGGATAGAGGAATAAACCACACCAGTGTGTTTTGTCACTTTTTTGCTCTATCCATCTCTTTCTTTGTTTGAACAGGTAAGCTTTTGCCATTCACGTGTTGTGGTTCACAGGACTACACATGGAGCTGGGGTACATTACCTGTGTTATGTCTTGATTATTTTTTTGTTCCTGCAAATAGTAAGGCCACCTTAACTTGCAATTTGGCATGTAATAAATAGGTCAAAGTCTTGAAGTCAGAGGAAATATTTGAATTGCTTAGTGAAATGAAGTTTTTATGATCCACAGCATTCTGAAAATAATTGACAGCAGGCTAATTATGAGGTTCCAATTCAAGGTGCTGGCAGTCGGTCTTCCTGGGGGAGTTGGAAGGATGACTATGTTAAGCATATTCTCTGGTTTTAAATATAGATTCTGCTAAAGTTGTTTGAAAAGTGTTTGGAAGCAGTTTACTTTATGGAATCCAGCATATTCCCTCCGATCGCTGTCCGCTTGGCTCTAGAGTTAGGGAGAAGGGACAGGGACTACTGGGTATTCTTTGAACAATGTCAGTAACTCCCTCAACAAAAATACCCCTGCAGTTTTCTTCCTCCTGCCAGAATGGCTCTGGTAGGGATTGTTCCTTCGTCTACATTAGTTATATCATCCCAAGTCCTTTTTTGTGATAGAAATGTCTAGGGGAGGGTGAATAATTTGTAAGAATTAACCATGAACAATTTTTGTAAGATTCCATAAAGAGACAGAAGGAAGAAATGGTATTTGTAAGGGGAGAAGGGAGGTTCTTTTTCATTAGTGTCACAGTCAGTTCAGGCTGCTTTAACAAAATACCATAGGCTTAAACAATAAAACATTTATTTCTCACAGTTCTGGAGGCTGGGAAGTCCAAGCTCATGGTGTGGGTACATTAGATGTTTTGTGAGGGCTCACTTCCTGGTTTGCAAACAGCTGCCTTCTCACTGTATCCTCACATCATGGTGAGAGAGAGAGAGAGCTCTCCTCTCTTCCTCTTCTTATAAAGGCACTAATCCCATCTTGGTGGCTCATCTAAACCTACTTACCTCCCCAAATGCCCTACCTCTAAATACCATCACATTGGGGATTAGGGCTTCAACATATGGGTTTGGAGAGAGGAACACAAACCTTCAGTCCATAGCAATTACTGTGCTATCTCATTCATTACAGTTGTTATTCTTGATTTTTTCCCTCACTTCCTTCTCAGTGATTTATTCTGTCCCTCAATATGAAGCCCCACCTCAGAAGTGAACACCAAAGGAGGGAGAAACATAAAGACTGAAAAAAGAAGAGGAATATAATAGGCACGAGAGAGAAAATGCAATTAACCTGTTTTGGTTTTAACCTTGTTTTGTTTTTTGGGTTTTTTTTTTTTTGGTGGTTGGGACCAGTATTGAACTGAAGTCTATAATTAAGATAACATTACACAAATTTTGTGAGAAACATGGACAAAAAATTTAATATAGGCAATATAGGCACTGAGGGGACAAAGTGGCATTTGAGTGTTTTAGTGTTCTGAGATCTTGGGTTCCAGGGCAATCCTGATGGGGAGAACTTGTGTAATAAGTGGTTTGAAAATACTACTCTCAGACTGTTAACACCCTAATTCTCACACAGCTTGTTGATGAACACCTATCAAAGTTTTGTTTAGCTCATTATTCAGGAAACCAGAAGAATGACAGATCTAGTTCAAAAAATCATTTAAAGATTGTGGGGGAAAGCATGCAGTAAAAAGATTGTTAATTTATGTACAAACTAGGCTGTTGTCCAGAAAAATCTTGCTTTTTACCATATTTCTACAAATTAACTTCTTAACTCTACAGTATTTTTTTTCACTTTTCATAAGGTTCACTTTATTCCATTTAAAGGATGTCCTTGGATTAGAGATGAAGGCCTTTATTATAACAAAATGGCTGGAGATTTTTGAGTATTCCCTATGTCCCAGGAACCTTACTCAGATGTTCTTGTTTAATCCTCAACATCCCCCATGAGGTAAGCACCGTTTATAGTTGAAGAAACTAAGGCTTAGCACAGGCAACTAGTTTGCACGAGGTCCTATAGCTAAAAAGTAGCAGAGCTGGGACTCACATTGAAGACACCAGAAGCCCTGTACTCTTAACCAATACGCTGTCTCTTCTGGGGTCATTTTTATTTTTTTTATTTTATTGAGGTCATAATAGTTTATAACTGTGAAATTTTCATTGTACGTTATTGTCAGTCCCCATATATATGTACCCCTTTACCCCTTATGCCCACCCCCCAATCCTCTTCCCCTCTGGTAAGCACTAATCTGTTTTCTTTGTCCATATGTTTGTTTATCTTCCACATATGAGTGAAATCATACAGTGTTTGTCTTTCTCTGTCTGGCTTATTTCGCTTAACATAATACCCTCAAGATCCATCCATGTTGTTGCGAATGGGATGATTTTGTCTTCTTTTATGGCTGAGTATATTCCATTGTATATCTATACCACATCTTCTTTATCCATTCGTCAGTTGTTGGGCACTTGGGTTGCTTCCACATCTTGGCTATTGTGCATAATGCTGCAGTGAACATAAGGGTGCATAAGTCTCTTTGAATTGTTGATTTCAAGTTCTTTGGATAAATACCCAGTAGTGGATAGCTGGGTGGTATGGTATTTCTATTTTTAATTTTTTGAGAAATCTCCATACTGTTTTCCATAGAGGCTGTACCAGTTTGCATTCCCACAGGCAGCGTATGAGTGTTCCCTTTTCTCTACATCCTGTCCAACATTTGTTATTTTTTGTCTTGGTAATTATAGCCATTCTAACAGAAGTAAGGTGATATCTCATTGTAGTTTTGATTTGCATTTCTCTAATGGTTAGTGATGTTGAACATCTTTTCATTTGTCTGTTGGCTATCTGTATATTTTCTTTGGAAAAATGTCTGTTCATGTCCTCTGCACATTTTTTGATTGAGTTGTCTGTTTTTTTGTTGTTGAGTTTTATGAGTCCTTTATATATTTTGGAGATTAACCTCTTGTCGGATATATGATTTGTAAATATTTTCTCCCAGTTTGTGGGTTATCTTTTTGTTATGTTCCTTGTTTCCCTTGCCTTGCAGAAGCTCTTTAGTCTGATATATTCCCATTTGTTTATTTTTTCTTTTGTTTCCCTTGCCTGAGTAGACGTGGTATTTGAAAAGATGCTTCAAAGACCGATGTCAAAGAGTGTACTGCCTATATTTTCTTCTAGGAGTTTTATGGTTTCAGGTATTACCTTCAAGTCTTTAATCTATTTTGAGTTAGTTTTTGTGTATGGTGTAAGATAATAGTCTACTTTCATTCTTTTGCATGTGGCTGTCCAGTTTTCCCAACACCACTTATTGAAGACACTTTCCTTTCTCCATTGTATGTTCTTCACTCCTTTGTCAAAGATTAGCTGTCCATAGATGTGTGGTTTTATTTCTGGGCTTCCAATTTTGTTCCATTGATCTATGTGTCTGTTTTTCTGCCAGTACCATGCTATTTTGATTACTATAGCTTTATAGTATATTTTGAAGTCAGGGATTGGGATATCTCCAGCTTTGTTCTTTCTTTCTCACATTGCTTTAGCTATTCGGGGTCTTTTGTTGCCCCATATGAATTTTAGGATTCTTTGTTCTATTTCTGTGAAGAATGTCACTGGGATTCTGATTGAGATTGCATTGAATCTGTAGATTGCTTTAGGTATTATGGACATTTTAACTATGTTTATTCTTCCAATCCATGTGCATGGACCATCATT